ATGTTGTACTTCTAACTTGTCAAGCAGAATATGTTTTACTGATGTTCTAGTGACCAAAAAGAAACTTTGAATCTCTATTTTGCGTAAAATAATGAACAGAGGATTTGCATCAGTTACCATTTTGAATCCCACCTCATGTTTTTCATACTAAGAAAAAAACATTATATTTCAACTTTTCAGGCTACATTCTCCAATCTAGAAGAATTGAAACTTGAAAAGATTGGCAGTCTGAAGGAGATATGGCGTGGACAATATGCAGGGGGCTATTTTCCCAAACTAAAAAAATTGGAACTTATCCACTTTTCTGAGCAATCAGTTGTTTCTTCTTTCTTTTTCCAGTCACTCCCTTGCAGTCTTGAGGAACTTGTTGTGAGCTATGCTTCCTTTAATGAAATATTTCAATGTGAAGGATCTGGTGGTGAGGGAAGACCTGCAGGTGGACTCACTCAGTTAAGGGAATTAAGGTTATCTAATCTTAATGAGCTAATGCATCTCTGGAAGGTTAAACCTGACTTTGAAACCATTGTCTACAACTTGAGAGCTCTGGAAGTGCTTGAATGTAGCAAATTAATGAATTTAGTGCCATCCATTATATCTATGAGGAATCTGCAAGATCTAGAAGTATCAAGATGTCATGCCCTTGTAAGTTTACTGAGGTATTCAACAGCTAAAAGCTTGGTGCAGCTCACAAGAATGAGTATAAGTGATTGTGATATGATAGGAGAAATTGTGGCATGCATTGATGATGAGGTGAAGGATGGCATTGTCTTTAGCAAACTCAAGTATTTGCGACTTAAGGGTCTACCAATGCTAGCAAACTTTTGTTCAGTGGAATGCAACTTTGAGTTTCCGTTTTTGAAAGACTTAATTGTGATGGATTGTCCAGACATGCAGTTTTTCTCTAAGGGGGAATTAATCACACCAAAACTGCAAAAAGTAAAATTGACAGAAGAAGATGATGAAGGGCGCTGGGAAGGGGACCTTAACGCCACTCTACAACAGTTGAAAATGGTATGTGTATTGATTCCGAAGAATTCCTTTAGTTTTTTGTTTCTTAATTTTTATGTTTCTTTACTTCGCCTTGATTATCCTGTTAACATAAAAATTGATGGAAACTAGTGGTAACTTCATTATATTATTTAGTCATAAACATTTATCTTGCCTACGGTTCTTGCTTTCTCCTTCAGTTTGTTATTCCTTATGATTACAGAGTACGGATGGCTCTAATGAAGACTGAACTTACGCAAACTGGATTACATCCGTCTCTGAAGACGTATATACAAGAGACTTTCTCTCACGTCCAAAACTAAAGTCAAATGGTGAGTGGGTCTTGTGCTTCTATATATCATTTCTATCTTTTTACCTTTTTGCCATCCTTCATGAAGTAATATCTTCTTATATGAAACTATGTTGTGATGTCTTGCAGGTTGAATGGTGCATTCACAAGCTGGATTTTAATGCTGTCAAGTTGTCACGCTGTCTGGCTCAAATAATCACTTCCCTTACTAAGACTGAACCCATTCCCCCCCCTAAAATCCACGTTTGAACTTGTATTATCTCTGTTTAATTTCTGTGAGGCTTGCTGGTGTGTTTTATGGTGTGAAGTAAAAAAGATGAACTTCATTTGTTTCTGCTTTCACAAGACAGATTGCCGTTTGCTTATGGATTATCAACTGAATTATGCATTTGTTTGTGTTAATAATTTTGAATGTATCTACCAAATGAATGTGTTAAATTTTTCGGTGGTGAAAAGAAAGGGTTTGAGGGAGAACTTGGAGGAGAAGGAGAAAGACACCATGGAGTTCCCTCTTTGTTGAGGTCAGAATCCAATTTTTTCATTCATCTTCTGCCATTGTATAGCAGAAATCTCGTAATACAGTAACAGTAATTTTCTCACCCAATATTTATCTAATACAAAAAATCTACCAAACATTTAATGCAAGATTACATTAAAAGATTTGCTGCCATTTGTGCGGCTACACGTTGCTGCTACTTTGCAGCCTTTCATTTGCATTTGCATTTGCATTTGCTGTTCATTACAGTCTCATTTCATCAACATTTGCAGCTTAGCTTGCTGGACTTTGCTGCTACCGTGCTATTGGTGCAGCTCTCCCTTCTTTTCATTTGCTGCCACTAGTGCAGCTTTGACACCACAACTGCAACAGAATGAGCTTTATAGCTAGTAATCTTTTGCTGAGTGTTACAAATTTGCCGATGGTGCTTGGATCTTTAGATAAGCAGACTGGTTATTCTCATTTCGTTCGTTGTACAATTTTGTGATGATTTTGTTAGTTATGGCAGCTTGATATTGCAGTTTTTCAATCTCTACTCGCTAAAAAAATGCAGCCTAGGCTGAAAATGAACTTACAGACAGGGACGAAATCAAAAATTGAAGTTAGAGGGCAAAAAATTAAAAATTTTTGTGAGTTATTTATTAGTTGACATTAGTATAACTTATATTAGTTTCTGTATTGGTCATTAATTTTATATATGTATCACTTAAATTATACACATAAAATACACATAAAACTTTAAATTAATTAGATATATCTAGCTTTATCACTAAAATTAGTTATATTTAGTTATTTTTGAATGATATATACTTTAAAACTCTTAAATAAATAATATACAAATATAATTTATTTTTTTAAATGGTTACCTATATC